ATAGATAGATAGATAGATAGATAGATAGATAGATAGATAGATAGATAGATAGATAGATAGATAGATAGATAGATAGATAGATAGATAGATATGGAACTATTAATGGGGATTATATACACATACACTTATGTTATTTCATTGTATTTCATTATCTACATTACAGTAATGGCTTATAACTACTTAAATACATAACAATTTGAATACATGCACATGTTTCTGAATAAGTACTATTTCTTTTGGAAACCAACCTTTTTTCACTTGATTTTTTTTTACTAAACACATTTACTAAACAATGAATCCTACACATGTACTATATACACTGATACAAATCATATACCTCTAAGAGCTAGCTTGATTAACTTATGTCATTTCTCAGTTCTTTCATATATTAAAAAAAGAAAGAAAAAAGGCAACAAATTATACAACTAGCTCAATTTGAACAATATATCAGTCTTCTCATTTAACTCTGCGTTATTGTGAATACTTTGTAAAATATTGCCAAAACAATTCCTGAATCTCATCAGCTTAGAAATGATCAAGAAGTTTGTGCACCTCATGGAATACGTAAATGCCAGAAAGGTCAACTTCTGTTAAGCAATAATTTACAGGAAATGAAAAATCAAAGGATTAAAGAGCTGGGAGGAATCAGGATGGAGAATATTTTTGAGTTATTTCAGGCCTAATATTAATGTCAAAGAGCTTTCACTGAAGTCTTGATTTTGCCTAAAATATTCAAGCCAAATATGTCACACATGGATTAGCAACTCATTTGATGTCAAACCCCTGAGCAAGCAGACAAGCCAAACATTAGTCCTGCTGCTGTACTTCACACACTGATACAAAGTGATTCATCTCGTTCTTCATGTGCCTATTTCTCACTGCACTCAACAGGAGGATTTTGCTTGGAGTGATGCTGCCAATGTGTAACTGTATACACCACTAACCGGGAAAAGCAGATGGCATTTTGAACTTAGATTATATTCCGTGCCAAAGTGAAATATTTAGCGGAACTAGGTCATGTTTTTAAAGTTTAATGAGATGCAACACAACACTGACCATCTGGAGGAACTGAAAAATTCACACTGAACTGGAGGCTCAGTGGGTAATGGGGAGGAGAGCAGTACATATAAAACAACCCATTGATCTTCCTCCTCCAGGCCATTAATGAAAAACAATTTCAAGAGAGCCCGCTGTAGATAATCAAAGGGGTCACTTTTCTTCTTGGCCACTGTAATGTAGCCTTTCTGCTCTGTTAATGGGCGTCTTTGAGGGTGAAAGGAACCATGAGGCATAATGAAAGAGATGGAAGGGCATGGGACTTGCTTCATCCAATGAATCATACGGCATTAATGAGAATCAGTTTTTCTCCTGCAGCTCATGTATGCAGAACTGTGTCCCGCTGTCAGAGATAACTCCACCAAATTAGTCAGGTGAGATCAGATGAAACAAAAACTGTAATTTATGAGCTGATATTTGAGGGGGTTGATTACGCAGCTTTGAGAGCACTAGTCACTTTCAAAAAAAATGGAAAGAAATCTGAGCACTTGGCAGTTTTACCTGGTAATGAAGTCAGGATTCGCTTGGTCTGCGGAGGCGATTAAATGTTTAGTGTCCAAAGCAGCATAATTTGTTGTCTCATCATATCCAGATATGATGGTCAATCAAAAGAGATTATGTTGAGCTTTCCTTTTGTGTCTTATAATAGAACAAAACATACTTCGGAATTTTATAACTACATATATGTCTCCAAATGCCATTATATAAGAACATAGAGTCCTTGTTTAGTAATACACTAGAAGGTGGTAAAAGAACACATCTTTTCTGATTCTTCATTAAGAAAAGATTGCATTTTAGTGGTATTGCAATAACAAGTGTTTTTTCTTTAATAAAACTCTTGATATAATTTTATGTATACACAAAATAATAAGAAACCTTATAAGACACTGTAGTATTGGTGTTCAAGGTCTGCATTCTGGACTAAATCAGTGAGAGAAACATCATTTCAGCAGAATCTCAGATTGTGTGGAACAGAGCGTGCAATGAAATACAAGTATAGGTGACAGGTTAGAGTTCAGCTGCACTGGAACTAAGACCCAAAGAAGTGATGTGAGGACGCTGATGTGTATGGAATAAAATTAGTAAAATGCCAGCATAATTAAGTATTGTCAGACATTTATGAGGACAATTTTATGAGAGGAGTAAAGGTGGAAAACTGAGGAGAGGAGAGTGAGGCGGGAAGGGATATTTCACTGCTTGAGTTTAAAATCTGTCTGCAGGCAATGCTACGCAGCAGGGCAGAGATCAGGGAAGCTTTGTTACCCATCTTTCCCTCTGAGCTTTTCAGCCAGTCAGCAAAAATTATTCTTTGGACTTTCATAAGACTATAGTATTCTTTATATGTCTGTATAATATGAACACAGGGGCAGCAGGGAAGCTTTATTTTCAGTGTTTGTAGGTGCAACAGTGACTGAGGCAAAGCATGGTCAGGACTGGCCCGGCAGCCCCTACTAAATAATGTACAAAGATGATTTGTTCTGTGACAGGAAGGATAAAATGCACCACGGTGGGTTGTGTAGCATTCTGATTACACAGACAAACCTAAGTAGGTACTGAAAAATCAGATGCAGGCTTCAGCTTGTCCAGAAATACAAGAGGTAGGTGTAGCTATTTTCTTTTCCTTAAATATAGCAATGCCACACTGTGTCAATTTTCCACATTTAAAATTTCACACAAACGTATGACCAGCAAAATGCTGTGGTAGTCCAAGAATTTACACTGGCACATTATGAGAATGCATTACAATTGTTGTATGAAAAGCATTTTAATGGTCAATGTGATTCAATGTTTTGTATACAACCAGGTTATAACAGTTATTATAAGATTATGTTCCATGCTATGATCATGTGCATTGTTGAATAATCTCCAATGTATATTTAAAACAACACACTGACTTCACAATGATAATCTGACACAATAATAATAATCTGTGATTCAGCTAGATAGACTACAACTCTAGTTTTTTAATGTGTTCCACTAGACTCACTTTGCCCTTTTTTCAATTTAGTACAAAAGCCTGTGCTTTGGCTGACATCAGCTTCACCTAAAATACATGTCACAAAGGAACACAAGCTCACTCAGAGGGCACTAAACACTTTTTTAAAAATGTTTTTAACTTGAGCTTCTGTTGTTAGACTTGTTGTTGTCAAAAGAATATTTGTAGTAGTGTTCGTAATTACCAGATCATCCTGCCATGAAGCCTGTGGCCTCTGGACATGATGAAGATCCTCAGGTAGGTCCTGACAAAGTACAGACGCTTAATCAGCAAACAGGGAGGCATTTTGAATTTTTTATATTAGCAATACCTTTTTTTCCTTCATCTTTAAAACATCCTTTAAGGATAAAACATGTCATTAGACATGGGATTAAAAATGTGCATCATTTTTTCTCCTTCATTTGTCTGGTTTTATAAAACAATTTTAAGAAGGGCATATGTGATATGAACCGTCTTTATTTTCTATTTCAGAATGGAGGTTAGCTGGTAATAACAGTGTAAACAAATCCAAATAGGATGCAACATGATGGAAGGATGGAGGAAAGAAGAAATAATTGGATGGGGATTTCTGAAATACAACTGACAGATAATACCTTGAATTCGTTCATTTCTTTTGTACTCACTGGGTAAATGTCAATCTTCCGGTCCCTTCCCACTGACATCACATAGCTTCAAACATAAATTGCACAAGCTCAGCGTGGATTCAAATTTATTCTAAGCCAAAAACACTTCCAAATATCACATCATTACTCACAAATTCCTGTGGACTTGGAGAAAGATGCAGTCACACACCTCACGACATTCACCATCTACAGGGAGAAAAAAATTCAAAGTGACTTTTCAATGATCAGATAATTTAATGTTTCAAACTTTCTGAGAGAGTAAAAGAAAAAGAAAAAAAGAAACCCATGCCTTTCTTTAATGTCTTCAGGCATAGACCATTGTTGAAGTTCCAGATCTTTAAAGATCCATCTCTTCCACCAGTGACGAGTCTGCAGACTCAAGAACATACGATGTGAGAATGGCATCTTATGGCAATGTAATATAAGTATGATAAGGTAGTGGCTTATTATATTATATAAAAGGTGACACTAAATATTGTATCATACCTTCTCCCTTTGGGATCAAATGTCAAACAAGTGATAGAAGACAGTTCGTGAGAGCCACCAAACTCAAAAAGTTGACACCCAGTGTCAAAATCCCAGATTCTCACAACCTAAAACCAGTAACAGCTCAGGTTTATTAAACATTTGATTTTCAGAATATCTAATATGATGGTGGTGTATGTGTTTTAACAGACACTGGAATCATTATTAATAGAATTCCTAAGGTGGTTAACATGTTGCAAAGCAGTAATTTACTCACAGATCCTTCAGTGCAGCTGACTACCTGACGAAACTCCTTACTGTAACCGCAGCACAAAACAGGCTCATTATGAGAAACAGTGAAGTGACGGTGAAGCCGCTGCCTGACAGAAGAAAAAGATAAGAAGATGAATGAAATAACTAGAGCGAGATTAGTATTAAGGAGACACAGTCATCTCTGCAAAAATAAATCTCCATGTTCAGAATGAAAGTAGGATTTTAGTTTAAAATCAACAGCTGTATTGAACTTCAGAGCATATTGGATCCCCTCGCTAACTGAGCTCAAAGGCATGACATCCTACCTTAACTTCAGAGGGAGCATAGTCATACAGTCCGCTGCAATATACAGAGACTTCATTGCAGGGGAATATGCGCATGCAGAAATATCACCATGAATCCGGCTTGCTTTGGGGTCTGCTGTAAACAGGCAACACTGATCCTGAAGATGCCAAATCTGAAGTAAACAGATGAACAGCAGTGAAAGACCTCACACTGTTTACTGTTTATCCTTTTAATCACAGTATAAATTATGTCTTATGAGAGAATAAAGTATACTAGAGTTATACATTTATGTGAAAAATAAAGTAAAATATTTTTTACATCTTACATTTAAATACTATGAGTTCAATAGTTTGCAGATTCACTTTTAGTAGCAAAAACCTGAAGTAATCATTTTCTGTATTACTTGATCAGCTTCTCATATTGGTGTGTGAGAAATTGGTGTGCAGGAATTTTGGCCCACTCGCCATTGTGATACCCTGATTACTTTCTTTGTAGATTTGTTGATGTGTCTGGGATAACCGTCCTGCTGCATAATCCACTTTAAGCTTCAGCTTTGAGACAGATGGCCTCAAATTTGTCTCTAGAATACTTTGGTATACAGCAAAATGTATAGCTCACTCTATGACTGTAAGGAGCCCAGGTCTGGTGCAATACAAGCCTAAATCATCACCCCTCCACCACCATGCTCGACTGTTCACATGAGGTGTTTGTTCTAATATGCTGTGTTTGATATTTGCCAAACATAGCATCATTCACTGTGGCTAGAGAGCTCCACTTTGGTTTGGTGTGTACAAGGAACATTATTTCAGATGTCTTGTGATTTGTTAAAATGCAGCTTTGCAATCCTAAACCATGTTGCTGTTCTTTGTAGAAAGAAGAGGCTTTCTCCTAGCAACAAGAACGGTCTTTTTTTTTTTGTTGTTTTATTTTTTTTTTAATAATTGTACCGTCGTGAACATTTCACATTCTAACTCTGACCTGTAGTTTCTGAGATATAGATTTTGGAGTTTTTCTACTTTCTCTGAGAATTGCATGGTCTGAAGTTGGGGTGAATTTGTCTACTTCTGGGAACATTGATTATTGTATTAACACACAATGATTGCTCCAAATCAGCAAACTCAATGATGATCGGTCAATCAAGTGTGCTTCATTAGCAGCCCAGGCCAACACTAACGGGGCACTTACTGTTTCACAGAACAGCATAGAAACTTTCTTTTTGACGTGACCGTATATACAGTCAGATGGCTTCTATCGGTATTATATTGTACCACTGAATCCTTATTATTATGGTTCATCTGTAATCATCTATCAAGTAATGTGATACAATTGAAACTCACTGTCAAATTTAAAATGTAGTGGACTAAAAAGAAAAGTATAAGTATCCCCACTGGAACATGGTGGCACTAAACTGGCAAAGTTAACCTTATATCAAGTTTTCTAATACTGTTGGAGAAATGCACATGGGCTTGATGACTGTACAACAATAAGAATCACAAATCATTTGTATACTTTGGAAAACGTAAAATCACACGTAAAACATAAAAATGAGTCATCAGTCACTTTCACAGTGCAGTCTGTTGAGACAGAGAAGATTTGATTGTCTTCTGAGGAGATGCGGATGGAGATGATAGGAGCAGAGTGGCCTTTCAAAATACCAGTTGGTTTTCTAAAATTGAAATTGAATCAGGTGAAAAAATGATTGTTTTTTAAAAACATGATACTTCAAAGAACAAAATCCTAGTCACTCTAGGTCCCTTACCCAGAATAATGTGGATTCCACAGGCGTATAAGTTTATCCATGCCTCCAGTAATCAGCAATCTGTGCTTCTGACAGAGGTCAAAGGTCCTGACACCTTTGTAGATGCTAAAGACAGTCTGATCACACGATGCCCGGACCTGTGGTGTCCAACTCAGCTGGATCTTCTTGGATTTACCTTCATAACAGGTCTCTTTAATTTCACTCAGCTGTTGCTCAGCATCTGTTAAAGGCAGCAGGCAGCCTCAAGAAGGAAAAAACAAAATAAAACATAAACAATACACATTTTAGTTAGGCTTTGTGTACGAGCATCAATCAAAACATTCCTTTTGCACCAACGGTAAGTCATTATCAGAATAAATGACCAAGTCTGCAAGTGGACATGCCCACATGCGGGGTGATCACGCACACAGACAGGTGGGAATAGATTGGTGAATTTGTGATAGATGAGTCATCATGAGTCATTTCTCACAGCTATCCATCCAGGCTACCTAATGTTCAAAACTGAGTTTAATTACTGAACACTGCAGAATACAAAGGAGTTGATTTTTTAAATCTATTTTTTAACAACCATCCTAAGGATGCGTGATTTTCAATTTGGTTCTCTCATTACAGACACTGTGTATGCATCCAAAACAGACAAGTAAATATGTACATCCAAGTAACAACAATAAATGTATGATTTTCTGGTATTGTACTGAACATATTATATAGGAAAGACGGAAATAGAGCTGAACAGAAATTACCTATAACAAGAGAAGAAGATTCTTCGTTTGATGAGGAGACAACAACCTGAAGACTATGAAAATATTTAATCTAAATTGGGAAAGAAATGTTTCTGTTTTAGGACTTTCATTTCATAATATATGTCAAATATCACACCATGACCAAACCTCAATATATTTCTTCGTATGGAGCATAACCACAGAAAGGTAAAACGTCACCTGTGTCACCCAGTCATGATGAACCTTCCATCTAATAAAAGTCAGGTTTGGAGAAAGAACTGCATGGTTAATTGATATGTTAGGTATAGTTTCAGTCTTTGGCAGTTTATTCCATAACCTATAAAAAGAGATGTGGAGATGTTCAGTCATGCCTGAAAACCATCAGACATTCAGAGATGCAACTTCATGTAAGTTATGTATAATTAGGGGACACATAGAATCTGAGGTATAATTTTAAATAACATAAAAATAACCAGCAACATGAAGTTAAAAAATTTGACTAATATTCTCTATTACATTCTTGTTTACAGATTATCATATTCTCGTTTACAGATTGTTGCTTTATAATTTGAATTAAATGACAGCAGTAATAACACTACTAGTAAAATACACATGTTTTAATCCTCCGTGAAACAGTCTAAAATAAACTCTCAAAAGTGTTAAAAAGTGAATCAAATCAAGGTAACTTACCTTTAAACTGCATGATAATTAAAATAAAACAAAAAAAATTAATAAAAATCACTGAGTTAAAAACCAGCTGGCACCAAAAGTGACTGATGATAAAATTTCTTCACTTGGCTTTTATAAATATATAAACGTTGAAAATTAGACGGTGCTAGAGGAAGCAGTAAATTGGATTTACAGTGTATGTAGAGGATCCTCCACTGAGGATCCATATTCCACAATCGGTGGAGGATGAAAAACTGACCTTAACTTTAAAATAAATAAAAAAAAGAGAGAAAAAGAAAATCTCAAGAAAGCAAATCATAATAGCCATCTTATAATAGCCTCAGTATTGCAGTTACCATGCAACTGAAGTGGTGTGGGAGTTATTGTAAAGTGGGTGATATTACTCAGTAGAGCATCCCAAACTTTTAATTGCTGTGTATTATGCAGAATCACCAAACACATTTTAAATATATCTTGTCTTCTGAGGTATTTCTTTTTAACTTGCAAATTCTTTTTGATCAAGCAAGATCATGATTTGGGAGAAAAACTAGTACTGAAGTACTGACATATGATTGTCTATGAATGGTTAATGCCTCTCCCAGGCTTTTCTTTGATCATCCAGTAGTGGAGAAAATCAGAGGTAATACTTAAATTTGAATAGCCAAAATGTTTTGCTTAAAGTCACAAAAATATGTCACAAAAATATCTTCAAATCGTTAGCTTCATAGCATAAGTGCCTAAGTCATTTTTTTGTGTTTTGTGTTTCAGACGGACAGGATGATGCAGCAGTGGTAGGGGAGTAAAGTTAGGCAAAAATCTCAATTTGACCAAAAAATGACTTAGGCACTTATGCTATGAAGCTAACGAAATGCATTCATAATATATACAGAAACAAAACTTGAATTTAAGTGAGTGTAAGTATTTGAAAAAGCAACATTACCTGAAGGTATCTCCAGCAGAGGATATTAACATGATAGTCACACATCCCTGAGAGACAAAGCAGTTAGATCTCTGCCAGATTTTTGTTTGATAATTCAATCAGCTTTTAATAACAAGACCTACTTCAGAGTCTCCATACAGAACACAGCATTTATCCTGGCCATTGTAGCTATGAGCAGAAAAACAAACACTGTGTAAAGAATTCATTTAGGTAGTCATAAGACGATGCTAGCATGAAGAATTGCTGCTCACCTGTAGTCCACTGTCAGGGGTATTGTTTCTAGTTCACTGATCTGACAATAAGGCTCCAGAGAGAAAAGGTTATAAAGCTGGAGCTCTCTATCCCTGCACAATAGTAAAGATATCTACATAAACAAACTTAGCAGAGCCCAGGACCTGTAGTTAATGAGACTAAATTTTATTTCACCACTTCTCATTACCCTGTCGCGATCATCAGCTTGTTGTACTCGCTCATCAGAGCAAAGTCACTTGCCCATTTTGACTTTGTATTTGTTGGATCTTCATTCTGTGAGAATTAACAAATACATTAAAAACTCATATTTACAAAATTGGAGCTGGAGCCTATCCCAGCTGTCATAGGGCGAGAGGCGGGGTACACCCTGGACAGGTCGCCAGTCTGTCGCAGGGCCAACACACAGGGACAGACAACCATTCGCACTCACATTCACTCGCACATTCACACCTAGTGGTAATTTGGACTATCCAATTAACCTATCCCCACAAGTTGACTTTAAAAAGTCATCAGGAAGTAATCATGGTGTTGACAGTAAGCATTCAGGTAAATGTGCACAAGCTGAAACATACAAACAGGTGTTTGGTCTTCTGGGGTTTAAGTTCAGGACTCCAGTGGCAAGCACACCCGTCTTCTCGCACTGTTACGATGGTGTCATCATGAGTAGACTGGATGTTGACAATAGGAATCCCGTGATTAAAGGAATTCATGGTGGCTGGCAGAATGAAGGCCACCTGGTTGTTGCGTCTTGCAGTTTCCTCCTGCCCTTTATACTGCTGCAGCATGTATGTGCAGAACTCACCCTGTATCACATGTTGTGTGTTAGAAAAGCCAGTGTTCTTCTGTATATTATTATTATTACATTTGTATCAGTTCTTTAAGGAATTATTTTTAGCCTTTTCTTTACTAACCTAAAATTTTGCAATTAAATTAAAGGTCCAATGTCCAGGGAAGATACATTACTATTACTGCACAAGGTGAATATATTAGTTTACAGTCAACCTAGGGCTAGGAGCACTCTGATAATTATTATTTATACTTGGTTCACAAATCCCCACTAGCCAAAGTAATTTTACTGCTGTCTAGCTTTTGTTTTTTTTAATTGCATAATCCTGGTGTTTACATACATGGGAAAGTGTTTTGAAGGGGTGTATGCTTCACAAAAAAACATAAATAATCTCACCCATGAAATCGTCCCTTTGCCTAAATAATCAATCTTCTTAAATAACCCTTGAATCTCCATGTAGGTCTGTGAAATTTAAAGAGTGGAAGAATGAACTGACACTTTTCTACGGTAAATTCTTCAGGCAATTTCCTTAATTGTAGATAAAGGGAAATACAGACGAGGCAGATTTTAAAAAAAATCTGAGACAGAGATGCAAAAAGAGGTGTGATGCTATCTTACTGCATTAGGTAAATCCAAACACTTCTTCATCATAGGTCCAAATTTGGCCACATCAATGTATCTCAATCCACCTGATTCAAATTCCTTTGCAAGAAAAAAAAATTAAATCACATTTCAGAAATGAATAACCAGACAATACATTTTTTTTTAAAAACAGAAGAGATCACACAATACCTCAAATGCTAGTTTCAGTTTCTCAAGGGTCTCAAGTGATATTTTCTCATCAATCTTAATCAGAAGGAGGGAATTGTGACAGTTACTATTATGCAAGGCAGCCTGGATTATTAGAATAAATCAGCATGGTGAAAAATAAAACAAGTAATTAAGTGTAATTGGCAAATATGCTTCTTCCATTTTTTTTCACTCCATTTAAGCAGTTCTTAAAATCTGAGTGCTAAAAATGCAAATTAAAAGTATTTATTTTTTTATGTATATATTTATTTTACACTGAACCATTATCAGCACATATGATTAGGGCTCAACCTCAGAGTATAATTACTATCTGTAATGGTCACCACAGGCACCACCAGCAATGTCATGTCTCGAAGATGCTTCCACAAGGCCGGATGGCAGGCCATGCTCTCTGTGTTAATGGCCTATCCTCAGATTTTCCATGGTTTCCTAGCAACTGGTCCTTGATCCATGAAGCTCTTTGATCTATCATTAATAAATAACACGGATAAACAGCCTAATTCCTCAAGGATGAAACTAGGGTTGAGGTTTCCCCACGGTATCTCCTGAACTGGGGAGATAATTGTTTAATCAGTCAGAGTGATGGAAGGACTAAAAGTGTTCACATAACCTCGACTGCTTTGCAGATCCCTTTATAAGAGATGCATAACTTTGAACTCCTGAGCCTTTTCTGCCTAATCTGTTAAGGCGCACTGCTCATTACATTAGCTAGGAGTCTGACTGACATCTGCAACTGAAACCCACAAAGTTGAGCTGCTGCATTTGCACCAGCCTCCCACATAATTCTATCATTTTTGTCAGCTTGAAAGCTTGAATTTGAATCTACTGGGGACCTTTTAAGTAGTTGGCTCAGCCACAATGTTTGTTTTACTTTGGCCTGAAACATGGCCATCCTGGGCTCTGGGATAGATTGTCCTGCCCGATGTGCTGTCAGGGAGCAAGTAAATTGATCATCAACTTGATTTAAAATGGCATTTTTGGCATTAGCTCACATCCATGCTGCTACTGGTAGGATGTGCTTCAGCTGTAGTCAAGTTTAAAAGCTCTTCGGGATCTTTAACATGGTCTGTAAAGTCAAGTTCAGAACTGCAGCACTCTAGTGACATCTTCAGGCTAAATGTAGCAACTCTAGAAAAGAAAGCTCATGGGCAAGGGGTGAAAATATATAATGATATTATCCCATCTGGACTTTGTTCTTGGAGAGATGGTTTGGTTAACATTTATTCACTCATTTCATTTTGCATTTAGCTTGATATTTAGATTTTTACCTTGAGGTTGTAAGTTGAATTGATGAGGTGATATTGCTGTCTCGTGATTTTCTCATTATCTCCGAGTGTGACAGAGTGCCTCCGTCTGCTCTGTTTGAGCAGCTCTTTCACCAACCAGTCAGGCTGTTCTTTTCCATCCTCGCTGTCAGTCAGTTGTCTTGGTACTGAAGAATCATCTGCTTTCTCATCCCGATATCCCAGCCCAGATGTGTTTCTTGTCCTCTCCTCTAAACCACTCAGTTCTGAGAGGATGCTGGAGGATTTGATATATGGGTAAGTAACGTTTAACCTTCAGTTATACAAGAAGGGACTTATTAGAGGAATCAAAATTCTCACATGTTTGAAAAAGAAACATTAGTGATGTTGGATATGATCTGTTTAATCCTAGGAATGTGATTATGATTCCCAGGTGACAGTGCTTCCTGCATTACAGGATAACTACTAAGTACTACCACAGATGGCAACACAAGCCCCATGACTACAGCAAACATTTTGTAACCAAGACTGAGAATAAAGCAAGGCTTCAACTTTTATCACTTGTCTAGACATTTAAACTCTGTTAGAGCTGACATTTAAAAGCAATGTGATTTCCAGTGGCGGCAGGGTAAACAATAACAGAGCAGATTACCTGTGTACATGTTGAGTCTCTAATCTTCCCGAAGCTGAAGAAGAGCGAACCTTTTTCCCCAAAGGCATTCTTTTTAATTCCTGTATCTTAAAGGTTGGTGTGACGTAAAAGGCACATTTTAGTGTTAAACATTTCTTCAAAGAGACCTCCAAACAGACGTTAATCAGTCAGATCTTACACTAGCTCACCTGATACTCACTTATGCATTACACCTGAACAGAGCAGGTGGCCCCGTGGTAACTAAGACACCAAAAGTGACAACTGAGACTACACAGCTTAAAACAAGACCCAGTGCTTGCAAAGAATCAGGGCTGTGACCATGTAAACATTGCAAATGGATAGAAATAAGCTATTGAGATATTGTTCTGTATTTTAAACTACTGTGCCACATTTTAACTTTCACTTCATTTAATTTACATTGCAAACCTACAGTTGCTAATATGTGTCTACAAAGGTTAAGCATTTTTCTTTTATTGTTATCAAGCTGTATAAGAATTGAGTTAAGTCCGATTGGGGAATATATTTTATATAAAACTAAGAGAAGCACGAGAACATTTGATTATTGGGCACAGACGTTAGGTCACAATATCATGCACACAAAAACTAAATCAGCAAAAATGAATTCTTTCATCTTTAATTCATAATATTATTGTGCTGATTTTACAGAGTGAACTGAGATTACATAAAAACACAAACAGCTAATATAAAATGATGAAATTCAGTGAGGTCCTGGCCAGCTTGATCTCCACTCTGGCGAGTCTGAGTTACGCACAGCTGCTGGAAGTTTATTGACTTTCTCCTTATTGTTTGGACAGACATCTTTACTCAAAACCACTTTTAGAGCCTCCTGCTCTGTAAAGCCAAAAGATAAAAACCAACATAAGCACATCTGTCAAACCACAATCACTGAACAATCTGTTATAAAGCTAAAACATTTAAATAAATAAATAAATAAATAAATAAATAAATAAATAAATAAATAAATAAATAAATAAATAAAATAAACTGGTGCTAACCCCTTTTAGGTAAAATTCTGTGTAACTGCTCCAGCTCCTGGGGTGTCAGAGACTTCATCACAGATGTGACAGTATTGACTGGCTTTCCGAAAAAATGGTCATAGGTTGCTACATTAGCACGATTCTTCTGAATCTGCAAGTTTCTTGGTACAACAGTGGGAACTGTAACATAGACAATCATCATCTAATACACTGCAAATCACCAGAGCTGCTGTTTACATGCATCTTCTATAGTTTTTGAGTAGACAGTACCTATACCGGGGCAGGTCACATTTGGATCTGTTTTGCAGCAGTGAGAAACACTGACCATGAGTTCAGATTTTTGGTTTGGCTGGCGATAATTGTCCCTCATCACAGTGTCAGTAGAGAGTGATATGCGGTGCCTGTTGTGCATAGGTGCAAACCATCTGGCTGCTTTTTCAGTGTCATTGTACTCTGTCAAGAAGAAAATACCATGACAAAATGAAAATGAATGGCAAATGGAAAATGAACTGTAGAGAGAAATGTCATGAAATGTTATGACATCTGGATGTGTGTGCACAGATGTAGTCAGCCATTCTGACGAGTTCTCGTACATGAGATTGACTGAAAATTGTGTACCTTGAGGTGTACCCATGAAGTCACATTTGTAAGTGGAGAGGTACTGTGCGGTTAGGGCCTTACGGATCTCACCCTCAGAAGGGAGGCATTTCAAAGGGAATGCAATATGGTCAGAGTTTCTTGCAACATCCCTTGGCAGCCTCCACATCATGAAAGACTTGGGGGAAAATAGCTTAATTTAAAGGTTACAATACACTGTGAAAGGTCAAGCATGCCATTTCACTATAAATGTAAAAACTGAGGGTTGGTGCCAACCTTGCTGGGATGCGGGTTATTTCTCCTCTGCCCTGAGGCTGTTCCTGTACGAATGCATTCAGGTTTACAGGCAGGCTTCCAGCTAAAGTCCTTACTGTATATACTTGAACCAAAAGGTCCAGACTGTGAATATGAGTCTATCAATGACGTTGACAGGGGCTTCCTACATAAGTACCAGCACAGACACATAATTACACACACAACCATGCATAATGTGTATGCTTATTTAGAGCCTCATAAGTCCATGATTTTACTTACAGGAAAATATCTGCAGCTGAACTTGGCTGGTAGATGAATTGCCTTTTGTGAGTTGTTTCATATGGATCCCACCACTGTTTCCCCCCTGGAAAAAATACTACTATACTGTAACTACTTTTTTAAGTATTTCAATCACTGTAGACATGGCACATCTAAAGCTGAGTTCAAATTAAACTTTTTGATCTACATAGTAACGACAGTATAACAAAGGCTACTGTATACCTCTGTAATGTAACTGTGCTTAAAATAAATGTAGACTTGTACTAAAAAATGAATCTGTACTTCTAAGTTCTGTAGTTCTCTGTAATTTTAATATTATGCAGATTTTGCTTGAAATATTAACATGGACTTGGACAAAAATCACATAAAACAAAAGCATACTGGAAAATTTACTGTTAGTCAATTTGGTCAAAATTGCCACGTAAAACATGAGTAGTAATTGGTGCATCTTTTTAATAAGAGAGTATAAAATGGGATATTGTGACTGTGGTGCATGTGCTTGTATTATAAGGATTTGTTAGAGGTGCCTTATATATATAGTAACAGACATATAAGGTGCCTTATATGCAATGTTCTCTCTAATTTTTCATGTGTCTGAGCGAACGCACAAACTCCCTGAGCGATCCCTTGGACCACTGTGAGCAACAGTAGACGTGTGCACTGTGGTCACGCCAGCATCGAATCCATCCAAGTTACATGGTTTATTAAAATAATCAAATTACAGCATTTACATTTATGTTAGACTCCTTTTAACTGCTTTATCCCACTTACAATGAAAATGTAAAAACATCTTGTTCATGACCTGTGTAGTATGTTAACACTATTGGAAGTAAAAATAACTTGAACTCCAATTTTGAAAACAAAACTTTCTTTTTTTTTTTTTTTTTAATAAAGCGGACTATGAGTCTGTGGTCTGGGAGAGAGTCCTGTAACTCTCTGTCTGCAAAATAAAGTATACAAAGACCAATGTTGGGTAATTAATTATATAGTTACTTCTTTAAAAACTTACTGAGTTTTGCAAACAACAAAGATTTTTGCAGCTGTTTACCTAAAAATGCTGCCAAGGCGTTTTTTAAAGAAACATT